GTAGTGGTAGTAGGAGTAGGAGTAGCAGCAGCAGTAGCAATAGCAGTAGTATCATTAACACCAGCAGCAGCAGTAGCGCTGGCATTAGGCTGGTGGTGGTGGTGGTGGTGGTGGTGTTGGTGGTGGTGGTGGTGGTGGTGGGGGCATCAGCATCATTAGCAGAAGCAGCGTTCTGTTGCCTCGCATGTGACACCCTATGCTCTTGGTTCGTCACCGCTAAGCGCTGGCAGTGGGAGTTAAACTTAAACTCAAATGGCAGGTGGTAGAACGATAAAACGAGAAGTGTATACTGTACTGCCGCAATTATGGGCCATGGATGCGAGTTCTTGAGCACAAGCTTCTCCTGGTCTTTTTCATGCCTGCAGCAGCTTTAACTCCCAGCTGATCGAACGCATTTTGCGCTGCCAGTGAGTAAGACCGCGCGAGGCACGGGTGGTCCTATACACAAAAGGTGGACAAAATGGGCAGCAATTCGGTATGACCAGCGGCCCGCGCCAAATCTTCCGGTTTATCTCCGCGATCGTTTGGAACATGTTCGGCATCATTCTCCAGGAGCAGCTTCACCAGCCTTTGGTCTCCCGTGACTGCAGCAATGGACAACGGCGTGGCTCCCGGGAGGGAAGCCATTTGACGCTTGTACACACTGCATGCCTCGAGACCCCAAAGGCTGGCAGAAACTCGAGCACGCATGCATTCCCAATAAAACCAACCACGTGGCTTTGCCTGGGCATTGACATCACCACGTGCTGACAGCAGCAGCTGCATGATGCTATGGCAATCTGGATTGCCGCGACCAAAGAAGGGCGCACTGTACATTGGTCCGAAACCATTTGGAGAAAGAGAGCCAGGGTCACACCGAGCATTCAAGAAGGCCTTCACGGTGTTCACGGAAGATACTCCTGCAACACCTGTCAATGGCGGTGACATAGCAAAGTCTGCTCTATATTCCAACAGCACCTGCACATGCTCGGGCTGTGATGCTAACCACGAAGCAGTTACGATGGAGCCAGACTCGGAAATGCATGCAAGGTTGGGGTCTGCTCTCAAAGTCATGAGAGTAGACAACACCTTCGGATCTTGACCCACATAGGCAGCCACCATCAACAAAGTCAATGAATCGGAGTAGCCCAGGTGGTCAAGACCACTGACACGAGCATTCACATCGCCGCCATTCTCCGCCAAGACTTGCAGAATGCCCACATCCCCAGCAAGCATTGAACACAACATACCCGTCATACCACTTTCGTGCTTGACGGCAGCCTGAAGACTATTGAAATCAAAATGCTGCAAGAAGCTGTGAAGGTCCTCGAAACCTTGCTGCTTTCGCTTCAGCAATCGGGGCTCCTGTGCCAAGTGGAAGCGGTAGTCTGTCAAAGGTCCCCAGCGCTGCAAATGTTCGATCTTGCTTCTCAAAGCCGTCTCCCCAAGCTTCACCACAATTGAACGATCCCTTTCAACAGTAAACAAGCCATCTGAGATCAAGTTCTTTTGCCAATCCAAAGGCACAATGTAGAGTGCCTCCCTGGCTGAGAAGATCACAACGACACTGGTATCCTTTCGGTTTGATAGCAAGCGACACCAAAGCTCTGCACGACACCACCTGCGTTGCGCTTTGGTTTTGTAGCAACCCCTAAAATCATTGTTAGGTACAAAAGATATGGAAAGTTCAACGCTTTCCGGAGCACAATTCAGCCACCCTCGAGAAAGCCACGTGCTGTAGTTGCATTGAAGCCCAGTATCATTATGTACAAGATCAGGGACGAGTGCCACGAACATGTCGCAAGACTCTACATAAGCTGGAATGCTCTGAACAGCTCGAGCTGTATCTGATACTGTGGAATCATCGTTGACACCTTTGGTTCTTTCAGTGAGCTGCGGTATGGCGAACCAGTCCAAGAACAGGTGCCCTTGCGCAACACTCTCACAGCCCGTGGCACCACCTACATCGCCGAACGTGCGCATTAGATCCACCTCCACCTTCATGGATCCATCGATGAAGGCCTGCAGTGCATGGCGCAGCACGCTCACCTGCTGCCCTAAGGGATCTGGAGATCCAGCACCCAACCACTGGTGCGAGATGAAGATCACAAACATACCTGGATGCCACTCGTGAAGCAAGCCTTTGTGCTTCAAGACGTGGTGTGGCTCAGGTGGACCCTCCATCTCCAAAAAGTCTGACACCTTGACCACGTACATGGGAAAGGAGCATTGGTGCACTCCTTCAGTACAGGCAATGCCATCCTTGGCACTGCCTTGGGAAGTACCCATGGCCACAGCATGTGGGAGGCCTGGTGCAGTCTGGGGTCTGTCTTGCGGTTCATATGCGCTCATGCTTAAGCCTTACGATTTAAGCTTATCTTGACATGTTCTAAATGAACCTTGATGCAACAGCTGTCAGACGACACCAGCATATGCAAACAGTTAAGCAACTCTGTCAGTGTAGCCCCTACTGAACACCTCCTCTGCGCACGCGGAGCGTAATGCTGCTTGTCAGACACACGTGCTGACTACAAAACAGCTTGCCTGATGATCCGTAGCACGCAGACCGTCTGCGCCAGCCTTTGCCAGACTGGATAATTCTTCTCTGATTCGGTTGGAGATTTCAGATGCTAAAGCGTCTTCTCCGGCCTCTCACAGCAGAATCAAAGCATCAAATTAACCATAACAAATACCCCATCTATATTCATCAGAAAAGGGTCAGGGAGATGCTTCCTGCGTACCGCAAAGACCGATTTTCAAGCCAAGCATCTCGAAGCTTGTGTTGGACTCGGATTCCAGACTCGCAAAAACCTCACAGGATGTAGGGATATAGGGGTTTCCCAAAATTAGGGGTACCATTTTGGGGGGTGCCTACAATAAGGACTATAGTATTTGGGGGTCTATGTTGGGGTCCCCCCATGTATGGGGAAACTGCCATAGCGCTCAATAATGGAGAATCAAGTGGGAAATCAAATGGAACATGAAATGGACACCTTCACCTCGCCTTAGGTGGTCCCTGGAAGGGAGTATACAAAGTTTTAAGTTTAAAGCTTAGGGACTGATGGAAAACCAAATGGACAAGACAATGGACAATGAAACGGAAGCTACTTTAGGGTTCAGGGCATGCAGGGAGTTCCTCGACGTACAAGTATTGGGCTCGCGCCAAATCTTAGTTGCGGACGACGCGCAGTAAGGCGTGCAGGACCTGGAACAACGCCTCCCAGCTGCGTGCTGCGAACTGTACTTGACGACATGTCAGAAAACCTCAAGAGGGTCTTCAGTTTTCCCGAAATCGCTTGCATGGGCATGCGTGGACGACTGATTACGACACTGTGAACTGGAAGCAGACAAGCAGGATGCTCAACACAAAGCTTGCGATCAGCTCCGCAAAGCCCAAGCACTTGTTTGGTGAAGAAGCAATCTTAACGCCTACCCAGCTGAGCCTGCCAACAGTCAGGGCGATTCTTGTCCAGCGCCTTTAAGGCATTGACCACCTGTCTCGCTACAGTAGCAGCAGTCAATGATGTTTTGCATTAATTACAAGGCGTAATGCATGGACATGGGCTCCTATTAGGGAATACGAACCATACTAAATTCGCAAAGCGACCCCTATGTCTACCCTTAATGGTAGCTCACATGAAGATGCTGAGACATGTTTGAACGCACAACTGAAGGGAAAGCGCCTGAGTTCTGTGCCCAGGATGCACACCGCGGCCTTGAAATGAGGAAGTGGCTAAGGCCGGGTGCTGCCAGTATGGCTGGATGTGACTGCTAGGCGCAGCGCAGCGCTTCGTGAACTCCAACATGTCCTCTGGCCTTGAAATGCCACTGGACTTTCAAGCACCACAACAAGAACATCCACCTAGGTGCATTGTGCGGGAACAATGCGAGCGCATGAACTTGCAAAGTGATGGCACGTATTGCGAACTGCGGCCACAAAGTGTTCAGAAGTGGCCCTCCTTCAGTTTCCATGTCTAAGTGCACTTGGCTTGTCGCCGACTTGGACAGCTCTCTGGCTGCCGCTGGCACTCTTTTTCAATCATGCCTCAAACAACCTGCCACGTCATCAAAACCTTGGCTTGCTTGGGGCTGGGAGGCTTGTTTCTCGACCTAGCAGAACAACAAAGGTGCCTGCTTGGCCAATTGGTCCGATTGTGCTCATCCCAGGTTTTTGAGACCTCCTGAATGCAAGCAGGAGGCCACTCCAGGGATCATTGCCAACAGGAGAAAGCAGCTCAGCACTGCAATAGGCAGTGTCATGCGGCGCTCAGCAGCTGGACGCAGGCAACGAAGTCGCAGGTATAGGCAGACAGGTAGTACCTGAAGAAACCCTTTCCCGTCTCAGCTTTGTCGTGCATTAAGGGGCCGCATCATACTCCACCAGCAGTGCATTTAACGCAGAGAGCAGGACACACGGTCAATCAAAGCACCACAGCAGCAGAAGCACTAAAGGGACCTCAACCAGGCAGCACCAAAGTTTAGCAAAGCATGGCATGTCTTTTCACGTGCCCCAGGGAAGGCCATGTCTAAGCGTGTGAGTCTACAATACTCAAAGAAACAATCAGGACTGACGCTTCCCAAGTGGCATAGCAAATGATCGCACCAGCCGTGGCGCCGGTGAAGCCGAAAACCTTGGAGAGGTCGCTCTCAGTAGTTGAGAGCAGGAGCGTGATACTAACCTCAGCACGTGGTCAAGAGCAGAATGCCAAAAACAGTTCAGAGTGGGGGAAATTAAGTACGAGAATGGAACGCTATGAGAAGAACTTGAAATCCAATGCAGGCCGGGCCGCCACGAAGAGTGCCTCTACGCGATGCCGAGCGCCAGCATCTGAGGCAGCAAATGCACCGCCTCCAAAGACCAAGTGGTCGACGGTGGAACCTTGGTAGGTTTCTGCAATCTTGCGAAGCTTCATCTAGCAACTTGGTCCTGGAACAAAGGAAACTGCGCACGATCAATGAGCTATATGCATGCTAGCGCCGGGTGTGAGTAGCATACTTGTCCTTTCCTGCGCTTTCAATTTAATCCTTTTGAACGTGGGGAACAACTCAATCCGTCCGCAAGAGCCTTCTAGTCATAAGCTTTTACCTGCCGTGATCAATGTCGTTATGGCGATAGCCTGTCAGACCACGCTTACAAGAGAGCTTCTCCTCTGGCCTTTCCGAGCAAAGTTTCAGGGTATCAATGCATATCCGTAAATGGAGCTGGACAGTCAAAATTCCGAGCACAACAAGCTTGAACGCCTGGCCATGCTTTCTAAACGTGGTGTGACAATAGTCACATAGAGAAACCCATTGACACATGCACAGATCTGCAACTGGGAAACGGCATGGCAAACAGAGCATAGGGAAAGCAAGGGTCACTGCCACCGAGATGGCCACACGCATTGCTAAGCCAAGCGGGTCCGTGGAGCTGAAGAGGTCCAAGACGTTTCCTGGGATTGCTCCAACCTGAGCAGGTGAACACGCCCTGGAGTCCGATTGGGGTAACATTCGGGTTATACTGGAGTAATATGGGGATAATGGAAAAGAAAATGAAAACTACTAGCATGGGTTGGTTACGATTCCCCTCAGCTCACAAACTTAGGCAAGTGTCCCCCTCAAGCTCGGCAACGCGCAGACCCGAAAAGGCCACAACCTCGTCTTCTGGGAAAAGCGCTAGACAACGGCGCGAAACTACTTAAGCTCTGGGCAATCCTTCCGGGAAAAAGGGGGCAGGCTACTTGCTTCAGCACATTGTTAAGCCCCCAGCTGTGTAGATAAACATGCACAGACCCATGGCGGCCAGGATGGCGGATCTCATTCGGGCAAAGGAGCGCTGCTCTAAGGTGGCATAAATGCACGGCACCTGCAGAGCGGTTTGGATGTGAATCGTGGATAGGGAGGTGCGGGCGTAAGTCTTACATGGACATGGCCTGCACTTGGCAACCCATACTCAGGGTGATAATAGGCATTGCTCGAAATAGCCCAGGAAATCCTGGGAGGCTGGATTGGTTGCTGAGCAAAAGGGTGCCTCAGCTCCAGGCTTCTGGCGATTTTGAAAAAAGGACTGGACATGACTGGACAGTTGGATAGCCAAAGGGCTGGGTTCCAAGCTCCAGCCACGCAGAGACAGCAGCAAGCCCACGAGGAGCATGCAGGCAACAGCAATGGCATTGCTGTACTGGAGGGACCTCGTGACCGGGAAGGCTACCAAAGATCCGTCGAAAACAGCTGCCTCAAAACCAGTGCAGGCAAGCCACGCGGGCGACTGCAAACAGGAAAGTGGCAGAATCACCAGGGCCACGTCCAAAGCCTGACTTCAATTAGATGGATGCTAAAGTCTGCTTGGACTTGGCACAGACATGAAGCCTGACCGAACTGGTAAAACACGATAAAACTATGCGACTGGGAGTAGGGAATTAAGCCTCAAGTGTCGAGCCTAAAAATTCAAATTACTGGAACTCCCAGCATAAATTGAATGGATGCATTGGATGATGCGCGACTTTCATCTGCCAGTCAGCTCTCGCGGGAAAACGAGGGCCCCGCTGTGAGGACGCCACGTCGCTCAGCGCCCACCTTTAGCACCCTAACTCCAAGAATATCCAAGAAACTTCGCAGAGTCGACAGGGCTTGTGCTTTCTCGGGCTTGTCTCCGAGCTAGGAACAGCTTGTATTGCTTGGTTTCTGGCTTATGACTTTGACTTTTTGGTGCGCGTGGACGGAAAGCTGTAATTTTCGAGTTTCCCATTTATGCAGGCTTCTCTTTGACCTTGCTAGGTGCACAACCCTCGGTTGGTTAACTCCAAGCGGCCAAATCAAAGCTGGGCCCGACGGACATCAAGCAGTCTCCTGTCCAACCACGGCTCATGGGCTTTCATGGCTCCAGTTGCTTGATCTGACGCAATACCAGCAGAAGGCTTACGTTGTGCTTCAAAACCATTTCCTTCCATGTCAGTATGTGCTCGTGATGACCCTGCATGGTCCAGCAAACCTGCCTGCAATAACCAACAGGCTGGTCATCGCCCCAAGCAAAAGCCAAACAACCAGCAGCTCCATGATAACCTCGGCTTTTTCAGTCAATTCGTACAAGAGTAATTTCACAAGGAGTATTCTATTAAGAAGTAACTGCACCTACCTCTGCTGCACTGCCCAAGTGTGAAGCCAGGAGCTGAGCCCCAGCCGCCAAAGGCCGCTATGGCAAGCTCTTCGTAAGTTGTCTTGCTGCTCCAGTCACAGCATTGGCATAGCCTGCAGGCGCCCGGTCCACAGTTGTGAAGAAGCTGATACACACTACTCAGTAGAAACACATCCTACCATGTAAAGTTGCCAAAGCAACAGCAGCGAAACAAAGGCCGAGAGGAACGCCGAGAGTATGAGCAGCCCCAGACCATGGAGAGGCCTTGCTGACGGACTCTCCACAGACTTTTTGCAGCATGAGATACCACGTCCTCCTGTGGAAGCCAACACCCCTATCCCTTGCACGATCTAAGCGAGGTGCCCAGCCACGGCAAATGCGAAAGGCAAAGCAAGGAGCCCGCTGCCTACCTTAGCACGTATCTGCTAAGAGGCCTGTACAGTAAAGTACCATGGCCATGCCGTCTGAGGTTTGCCACATCTGGGGAGGCTCCACCATGTTACCATGTTTAATTTCTGAACCGAGCCGCGCAGGTCGACACAAGAGACAGCGCACAGCTGCAAACCGAAGCTGTGAGTGGCGGCTCCTCAGCTGCCCTCAAGCTGACATTCTCTTCAGAGCCAAGTCTCACACCATGCACCCAAGGCTCCGCAGGCAGACTTTCTGCCTCGGGCTTTGCCGTGGCAGGCAGTGGTGTCCTGGGCTATGAAAGAGCACACTGCGTGCTGCGGTGCATCCCCGCTCTATCCTGGACCTCTGCAATCCAGTGACGCCAGTGATTTAGAGTTCAGACACGACTCGCTGGCAGCGAATTGCCGGCTTGGCTGCACCAGCTTTCTTTTCGACCTCATCTCCGTAATTGCTGAATGCTGCAAGGGGGATGCAGGCTCTCATCGCCCCAAGCCATTGCACTCTAGCTTGAGATCCTGAGACGCAAGCTTTAATGTCACCAGGAAGACGAGTAGAAGACAAAGAAGTAGCAGTGGTATTTTATTTGTTGTACTGCAACAACAGCTTCTTCTGCCCTCCACCGCTTCTATCTATTTCGTTAATCCTCACCACCAACGCCGCCGCCTCCACCGTCATTATCATCGTGCCCATTCCTATCCTGATCATCTAGGCAGTGATGAGGTGCTGACGGGTCGTCCAGTAGCTCTCCTCGTAGTGAAGCTCATGGTTCCCATGGGCCGCTAGCAGATTGTCCAAACTCATTGCCACATGGCAGTTATCATTGAACCTGTAAGGATGTCGGCCCCCAGCCCAAGCAGAAGATGGGTGTTACTCATCAATCTAGAATAAATGCCGGTAAACAGCAGCCAACAGACTGTGACAACAATGCAGGATGCTATAGCGGCAGTTGGCATGTGACAGCTTCTTTCATGGTGCTTGGTGCCTGATTCCTGGCTGGATTTTCTCAGGTGCCAGCCAACTTTGCAGCTGGTTGTCTACATGACAGCTCATGGGCCAAACACAGGAAGGTTGCTCAAGTCTAGGTTGTGCTGGCTGGGCCACGAAGCGTCAGAAATAAGCGGAGAGAAAACCTGTGCTCCAGGCTTCTCTTGCAGAACGGCCACAGCCTGCCACTCCGTAATTGTGTGTGGCAGTCCCATTCATCCTCCGCTTCCACCATGCCAGAAAGGTTTCAAGGTAGGTGCCTGCGTTGCCAGAACTTTCTGCATGATGGCCTCGCGGACTCTGAGGCCTTAGACTTAGACTTCAGAGGCAGCAGACCGTACCGTAGCCGGCAAGTTGGGTGAGTTGGGTGCGGGTGCATGAGTTTTCTTAAATTGAGGATGGGACACATCTTCAGCGCTGCGCGCTTCCGAGCCTCATCCTGCAGAATTGAATGCGGGTTGCCACCCAGCCTCATGTCTGCTGCACTGGACGGAAGCTGTGCTTCCAGACATGTAGACCTCCCAAAGCCCCTTTGCCAGGCCTTGCGCACACGCCTCATGCCAAGACTTCAGAGCTGATTGCCACTGGTTACAGCTTGCTGTTGCCAACTGATAACCGGTAACTTCCCGCTCAGAAGCTGGCTGGCAGTGCAAAACGGATGGATTCAGGCCTTCAAGTTCGCAATCACAACGGCTGCACGGAAACCGAGTTACCTAATTGAAACAACCATCTCCAGAGCGACATTCTCAAGGGTGCGGCGATCAACGCTGAAGTTCTGCGACGGGGCCTGGAATTGACCTTTCAGTGCTTGGCGGCATTTCCAGCGTCTGGACCCATGTCATATCATATCACGATGGGGTATCCTGAACTTTGACGTCTTGGGCTACGGACGGCCGCGGAGCAATTCACCGACGATCCTGCTCACCTGAAAGCGATCGCTGATCAATGATAATCCCCGTTTCCAACCTATCATCTAGGTAATTTGCCAGTATAGCACCGTCTATAATCCTGAATTCCATTGCATTCGCAATCTTTTCCTGTTGATTCCACGATTTTTGGAGTCGTCCTATGGTCCGTCATGCGTCCAAGTACCTGCATTCCCTGAGGCCCATTGTGGTCATTATTCTCATCATTGTAGTTACTGTTATCAGTACTGTGACTAATTTCATTACTAGTTTTCCGGCTGTTTTCCCATTTTTTCTCCTAGTTTTATGGCTATCAATGTCATAATCATTTTGCTCCGTGATACTTGCTCAAGGTCTTTGAGCTCGTTGAGTCTCTCACAGAGTCAGCAGCACTGTTGAGCTCACCAGCGTCCATGAATGCCTCGGCCTGATGCGACAGGCAATTTTCACAACTGCAAGTGGACTTCTTCACAGTAACGTTGTGTAGCTTCAGGACTACACCCCGACTCAGGAACCGCGGCCTCACACGAATAGTACTTGCCCATGTACCATTTGTCCATCATTGCCAGGACTTTCATGCCCTCATGGCCAGGACTATCTGATCGACATGTAAGTGGCACCAACTGCCCAGTGAAGACTTCTGTGTTACGTGGCCTCCAGGGCGTCTGCGATGACATTCTTTCGAGTCCTTGGCGGACAGTGCACAATCCCTTTTAATTAGGAACTAATTTCCGACCGGTCGGTGCGACCCCCGCGACTATGGAACCCCCTAAACACCCACTTGAGCAAAAAGTGCGATGAGTCATGGTCACATAGCTTTTGAGGAGCAGGCAGCTCACGAGAGTTGTCGTAGCAAGCTATGCCGGCGCTCTCATACCCTGGGAGAGGGCATGAAGCAGTTCTCAAGCGGTGCGCAGCTTTGTTGGAGCATGGTTTTTGCTGCTGCAATGATGAGTGCAGCAAATGTGAAAAGCCGTAAGGAGCATGCCGTCCCGAGACTGGAAGACAACTGCAAGGCGAGTGGTGTGCAGCCTGACATCTGCTGCACGGTCAATGAGGAGGGAGGTCCTTATCCCCGACGCTTGCAAGGAGCAAGTCCCCGATAAGAAGGGCGCAGCAGCCAGACAAACAACCCAAGCCCACCCCTAGCATCGTGTTGCCGGGCCCAAATATGTTGTTTCCAACAGCCCCTTGACCGTGCTAGCTCCTCCTATTCCCCCAAAAGAGTTTCCAGTACCCCGAAAAGGTCAAAGGACGTCGTTTTCGAACGCAAATGATCCAACTGGAATTTCACGACGTCATTTGCTGGTCCTCTAGCTTCTGGCCTGGAAATAGGCTTGCAACAAGCAAACAGTGGACGCAAAGCACAACTGCCATAAAAACGTG